ACCCAGTTGAGAGCAGTCCTCCTTTTCGCAGTTCATCTCGCTCGTCGTTGTCACGGTGGAGGTCAAGTCATGACAAGGGATGGCTGCTGCAAAGCATTTGTCTTGGGTCGTCGAAACTAGCCACAGGAATAGTCGTAAACTGAGTAAAGCCGGCCGTTTCGACAGTTGTGAACAAGAGGGGAATGAGGTGAATACAGTTGTGAAACACAACTCCCTCGCCATATCACCCTTGTGTAGTAGTAATCCACTCACTGGATGCCATTTGCACTTCTAATATCAAGACTGAAAATGCTTAGAGATACACTTTAGTTCCAGCTGCAGAAGAACAATACCAGTTGAATAATGCCACCACTACACCTCCATTTAAAAAAGTATGATTTCCGCGCAAAGAATCTATGTGTGTTGATTGAGAGAGAATTTCCACCTTGGGTGCCATGAGTCATAATCAAGAGGCGACCTCTACGTCTTCCTTCACCCAAACCAACACCCTTATCTACTACCGTTTCCATAAGGACCCGAACCATTATAAGTAGATAGTTGACAATTATCTCAACTCAAACATGAGGCAAAGCACAAAATTGTGAACCGAACACACGAGCAGGTAACCATGCTGTGGAAATTATGAATTCAAAGATGCGGGTTCATAGAAGTGAATATCACCTGTGAGGTCCCAGTCGCGATCAGGTTTACACCCAAAACCAGGCACATGCGCCCGCACAGGAGAAAGGCACATGAAGGGCGCCATCCATCCCATACTGCCACCGTTCCCTGGATGCCACTCTCATTACTCTTTCCCCTTGTACGGGCTAGTCCAAAACCTGGTCGCCTAGTCTTCCGATCGAAGGCTGCCTCAAGCTTCACAGAAGAGCAAGATAATGCGGCGCATGTCTCAATGAATACATCGTTCAGGTTTGCTTGCAAAGCACGGGGAGAATGAGCAATCGGAGGGCAGTTCGAGATTGGGAGAGACGGAAGTGTGGCCAATGAGATGCAACCGAGGGAAGGGGGTGGAGAAAGACGTGGAGTGAAGAGGAGCAGGGGCTTGCGAGGGAGACAATGGCAGTTTTGGAGAGGCAACAGGTTTAGGGTTTCGTAAGGGGAGGAAAAAATCACCGTTTATGAGCGGCGGAGCGGGGAGACTGGCATCGCTGGACGGGGGAGTTGGTGGTCGCCATCGTTGTATGAATCGATGGGTGACTACATGCCTATGTCGCAGGATGTGCAAGCGCAGCATGCAATTCGGCGGTGGACCTCGTTCTTACCCGCGGCGATGCACGATGCAGAGGCGCCTCGAGATGACGCGTTGGGTGGGGTGTACCAGAGGAGCCACAGCTTTTGGAGGTAGGGTTTAGAGTTGCACGCATTCAACAATTTCTTTTGGAGCCCGCCGAGGTCGTCGATGTCCAAGGATGAGTTTTCGGGGTTTCTGATGGCAAACGAGGAGACGCGGATCGAGGCGGGGAGCGGTGAAGGGAGCTTTTATGAGGAGGCATGAAGGGAGGAAGTCGAACGGACATGTGAGGGTTGAAGTTGGGATCGGCGTCACTGCTGGGGGCCGAGGGACCTGGTCGTTAGGATTACAGACATTTTCCGATGCGTCGTTCAACAATTTTGTGTCATCGAACAACGAGGACGAGGAGGCGTGGGCAGTGATAGACATGTACGGGTGCAATGAGTTCCGGATGTTGGAATTCTAGGTGAGGCGATGTATGAGAGGGAGGAGCCATGATTGGACGGAAGGCCCATTTGCCCACCCGGGCGAGAAAGCTAGGCGTTGCAATCCGCGGCGGTACGAGGACTCGGAGACAGCGTGTAGGGAGTTTCGAAAAAGAGAGCTCTCGGAGAGGCGATGCGTGCGAGTTTGGGTGCATTTAAGTATTGAGTATTGGTTGCATTTGGCTGGGTACTTGGACGCAGCTGTGCAAGGATGGGCAGAATTAGCATCGTCGAGTGTGGTTTTTGGTGCATACGTCGGAGCTGCTACGGTGGATGCCTGCGGCGGTACAGGAGGCACAGGAAGCGACGACAAGAGATCGGAGCACAAGGCATCACGAAGGGTTGCCGCGAGCCGGTGCACGGGGGAGCTACGATCGAGCGTCGAGGTACGAGGACTTGTCTTACGACGGACCATGGGGACGTGACGGTCTGAGCCAGTCGTTGGAGCATTCAAGGTTGGCCCAGTGGAGTGCAGGGTGTGCGGCATTGTAGAATTCATTGCCTAGGTCGATGCTGGTGGGGCTTGCACAGTACCCGCTGCCGTTGAGCCCTCTGTTGTTGGGGTCGGTTGAGAAATGGGCGTGAGTGCAGGGTGATTAACGAGCGTGTCGATGTCTGATTTTGCAGAATCTGTAATGTGACTATAGACGACACTGCAGTAAGCGACGTAGTCTCGAAGGCTGCACTCACGGATGCATCAAGGGTAGGCACCTTGGTCGCCTGCGGGAGTCTTGCAGAAGTCGAAGATGGAGCTGATATTGACTCCGTCAACGATGATCCTGATGGAAGGAGAGCCGGTGGTGCAACAAGTGGAGAGCGGGCAAAGACATAGGGGCGAGAAGCCCGAAGGACTCTCTGGACCTGGACTAGGTGAACTACTTATCTATGGAGGATTGCTTTAAGTAAGCAGTGTTCAGTACGCATTTAGACTCCATACACAGTTGTTTGATGAGAAAGAATATGCTAGTGAGAACTGTAATCAGGATTTGGAGACCCTAATTAGGGTTTTCAAACCCTAAATTACAAAAAACGAAACACATTTTTTTGAAAAATAAAAACGTTTGTAGAGGTCTTTGGGTGATTGTAAGCCTTGGCAAAATCTTAAAAGAGAAAAAGCTGTGATATATTAAGAGATATTGAGGATGAAAAACCTCTAGGACACCCATGTAAATCCTAAACCCTAAACCCTAAATCCTAAATCCTAAAAATTCTAAATCCTAAACCCTAAATCCTAAACCTGGTTGCTAGACAAGCAATAGGATGGAGTGGCAAGCATATGGAGCAACAACTTCAACAAGCAAGAGAGTGGAGAAGTGCCCAAGCAAGTCAACAAGCATTGATACAAGTGGGGCCATTCCTCTACGATGGTTGGGAGCAAGATGATCCAAGTATTCATCCTCTCATCTTTGAATTTCTTCACAATGCACATTGGTTTGTTCATAGTAGGGTCGTAGATAGACGTGTAGATGGCTTGATGTTAAAGAAGACCAATAGTGGTGCATATTGGACAAAGGATGGAGTGTATGAAGATCGTGTTGGAGGAGCTCGCCACTTCATTCAAGAATATGGTGCACATTGGCGGAATCATGTTCAATCCATTGCATAGGCTTAGAACCCATATAATATAAAGTTAAATCATATGTACATATAGTATAAATATGATATTTTCCAAAAATAAAAAAAACATTTACCTATATAAATTATCCAATATATTATTATAATGTCCAAAAGTCTCTATGTATTTATTTCATATTTTTATAATATTTTTTTCATATATTAATGAAAGGCAAATTTTGCTATTTTGAAAATCTCATATCTCCTAAACTATAAACTTGCTGAAAATTTTAAACATACCATTGGAATCAGAAGCATGATAAATAGGGGGGTAGGTCAAATCAAAAATTCAAAACAATAAAGTATACAAAAAGTCAACAGAAAATTGTATCAAGTCAAACGCCTTATATCTCAAAATTGAAAAACATGTATAGGATTTCAAGACCATCACTAGATTTCTAGACCCTTAAAATAAGGGGGTAGCTCAAATCAAAACTTCAAAATTCCTATTCATATACAAAGTCAACTCAAAAGTCAAAATAGTCAAACACTTAATACCTACAAATATATGTACCTTTTCAAAACTTCAAGCCCATATTTAGAATTGGCAACCCTCAAACAAATCCAATGGACTTTTCAAAAATTTCAAAAAACCTTGTATGACAAAAGTCAAAACCCTAAACTCCAAGTCAAAGTAGCTAAATCTTCCAAACTATAAACTTGTATAGGAAAAGAATTATACCATTGACATCCTAGACACCATAAATGGGGAGGTAGGTCAAGTCAAAATCCAAAAATAATGATGCCCAAAAACCGGGGACACCCTTGTAAATCCTAAACCCTAAACCCTAAACCCTAAATGATAATATCTTTACTATGGCTCTATTTGATATATTAGATCTTTTTACAACAATTACTGCTTTTGAACAAAACTATGTGTTTGTAAATTTTAAATGCAATTATAAAATTTAGTTCTCTTTATTATTTCATCATTCTAAACATGTTCTATTAGAAACATTCTAGACTTGGCTAAAAAAAATATTCAAAATTCTAATGCAAAGAGTAGAAAAGAAAATGAAAGTTTTTGTTTTTGATTCCAACCATAAGATCTTAATCTGTACTACTAAACCTTTAAGTTCACAAATTTTCATAACATTTCACCTCACAGATTGGAAGATTATAGTGTTTAACCCCTAAAGTTCTTTGACTATGTTTCACCAAAAAAACGCTCGAAAATTGCCATTTTCAATGCAAAAAACATGAATGACTATAAAATCATTATTATCCAACTTCAACCATAGGATCTTCAACTAGATTATTATAGTAGCTAGTAAAAAAATTCATTAAAATCAACCTTAAAAATTAAAAGATTATAGCAATTGAAATTCAAAAACAAAATATTTTGGCACTATTTCAACTAAGTTGACACACTCAAACTTTTTTTTGTTGCATTTTTGCACTATAGATTTTGAAGGTTTTGATCCATGACAAAGATGTCTAAGTTAGCTAATTGTAGAAAAAAAAATTAAGACATAGAAGACAAGTGTAGCATATTGAAAATAATATTTTAATTAAATTGAATACACAACAATGCAAATTCATCTTTCTTTTCTTGAAAATTCAATATTTATTCTATTGATGATTATCAATAGTGATAACACTACAACAATTTCCATTTAATTTTTGTCAACTCATTTTTTACTTATATAAGAAGAAGATATTAGAAAAGTTCAACTCTTGAATTATATAGAAAAATGAAAAAACAGGGAATTGTATATTTTCTGTGATTGTTATCAACTACCATTGACATGATATTGTATAACTTTTGAATGCAAATTGTAAATACAATTCAAATAATAAGTTTTTTTTATACCATTTGTACGTTTTGAAAAGGCATCAATGTATAAATGTAGTGCAGCATGTAAAGATTTATCACATGAATAGAAAAAAAATTACAAATTGGTCTATTATAGATAGCACAACAGGCAATGAAAAAATCTCCAACATATTGAATATGACTTATATTATAGAGAAAATCAACAACAATTTGTACAAATGTTTTTGTGCAAAACCGCCAATGTCATTGAAATCCGCCATTATAACGAATAAAGCCATTTTTTGCTCCGTTGTGTGCTTATCCTGTTGCAAATATGCACCAAGGTTCAGAGCTTGACTTGCTGATCTCTGATAATTTATTGTCAAGAGATGAAGCCAACCACATGTTCATATAATTTGTGCGTTCTGATTACACGCTTTACCAGTATCCCTTCATAATTTGTGCCATGAGATATATTCACGTTGCTTTCTTTTTTCAGGTGTTGAATGTTCCAGAGGCCAAAGTAGTGAGGTTCTTTGACCCAGAATTGGAGGTTCAAAACAAAGAAAATAATGGGGGTGACGAAATCGAACAATAGGTTCAAACTCAAGGTGCGGCGGAACCTATGGAAGATGAGGTCAGCGCCCTGAGAGTCAAAGATCGACGGCTGGCGGGGGGGTTCAAAGACGGTAGGGCCAGGGGCGAGAACAGTAGGGCCACGAGGCGAGGATAGCAGCGCCGATGGCTGGTGCAGGCAGCCTGGGATCACAGCTTGACCCACGCAACGATGCCAAAATCAAAAAGAAAAAATTCACAAAAATATGCTGGAATAGGTAATCAAGAAGGTTGCAAAATTAGATTCGCAACAAGATCGACTCGTGCTGATAACGTGTTGAAAGTAGAACTAAAACTGGAGAATTCGTATTGAAGAGACTAACTCCGACAGTATGCTAAAGTACTTCCACTAGCTACACTACATGGTACGGCGAGCGTATCTTTATAATAGGATAATCGCAATAATCATCATATCAATCCAACTTTGTCCGACATCATCGTATTTTTGATTGTCGCTTTCTATTGAAATGCTCTCATTGTGAAAATAAACAAACAAATTAATAAATCGGTCTACCTCCTAAGTAGTGGAGTTTGAATGTTAAACGTGATTGCTGGCTTCTTTGGGCATATTGTGTGGGGCCAGCAACTTTGGATTTTTTGTATAGGACCACTTAGACACCGGCAGTAATGACAATTAATGGTTTTACCCTTCATCCACCGTCTTTTATGTTTGTTCAGTAACCGTTGACATTCACTGTGCAGATCTTACCATTTTTTTTTGACAAAAGTGGCACTAGCAGGAGCGTGAGACTCGTCGGACCCCACTTGTCGCAGCTCCAATTAGGCTTATGGCATTGGAGCGCCTCTCTAGCACAGATTTCCAACCTTGTAAAGATGATACCTTATCCACACACATGCTAGATAAAGGATGTGAAGACTTACAAATCATCATACTGGAACTAAAAATACAGTACAATGCGCTACCATACCTTATGGCCACCTACAAAATTCACAAAAAAAAATATATGTGGTTGACAAATGCGTCCCCCACTGTATTTTTTGATTTGGCCCATCTAGTAGCTATTGCGTCCAACTTAATACTTGAATCACTAAAGCAGTGGGCTGCTGAACTTATCCTCAGCTACAAAAGATTTTTACAGATTGATACATCCGTTTTCTGGTTGCTTAATTCTGCTATGGAACTTGCACTTAACATCTCTACAAATATATCCAACATATTTATAGCAGACATTGCAAGATGTTGTGAGTCCATTCCACCAGAAGGCAATGACAATCTCCCTGGTGCAATTGCCCACCTCATACACATTGGGTTTGAGCAGCAACATAAATACCATCCAAGCTCTGATCCACAGATTTGGATTTGGACTGAAAAAGGACAAGCAACAAAAGCCTCATGGGCTACATCACCTCCTAAATGTGGTACATGATTTGAGCTGAGTGAGCAAAGATTGATCAGGTTGAGTAGTTGGCTCATGCAAAATTGCTTTGTTGGACTTGGTGACCAAGTTTGGCAACAGATTACAGGCATCCCCATGGGCTCCGCTTGCTCACCAATATGGTGTAATATGTATCTCATGTTTTATGAATCTCAATTTATCAGCAGGATAGCAAAACTGGGAAGAATTGATATCCTTGCTGAATTCAAACATGCATATCTATACATGGATGATTTATGCTGGTTCAACATTAAATCTCCTAAAAGGTTCTTGGATCCAATGCAACAATGCACTCTAGATTCATCCATTATGTATCTAATATAAGCGTCTTAGTTGCAAAAAGGTCAATTTGAAAGCTCAAGATCAATCTACACCATTTATATTAATGAATTTGTTTGTAGATCCATTATAAGAATCGATTGGCATTACAATTCAATTCAAAAGTCATTG